AAAAAATCAAAAATTTTGGTTTATGGAAAAACACCTGTCATACAGTTTTCATATATTGAAAAATTCTTATCATAGAGTTTTCATACAATTTTCTGTACGTATGGAATTGTATGAATTTGTATGACAAGAAGTTTCTCATATATGGAAATTGTATGATAAGAAGTTTTGGTCAACCCGGGTATCATGGAAATTCTTCATCATTTAAAAAAAGATAACATTAGAACTCCTATTCTTCACATTTTTGCAATAACTCGGGCAAAGAGCTGTTCCTGGCAGTTAGACACAAACAGATGGATTCACTGCTGGCGATCACTAAGAGAAACGATTTTTGATTATTGTACACCCAAACAGTGGAATCCCTCATACGCGATGGACCGAATGCGCGAAAATAAAAGTCAGCCAATCAGATTTCAGTTATCTACAATTTGCAAAGAAAGTAAACATTTCCAGGGACTTGGTCGAATATAAAAACGGCAAAACATGCAAAATTTCCAATTTGTGCTGACGTCGCCGAATTGAAACAAATTTTATATTTCAAGAGTTTCGTTATAAAAGAAGCGAAATATTGCTTCATTTGATTGAATGGCAAATGCTTCTTTTTCAAATTTGACATACAGCCCATTACATTTTCGGACATTCGCTCACGAGTTTTTTCGCGCATTCGGTCCTTCGCGCATGAGAATAGCCCCCCATCCAGACCAGAGCAACCAGTTGCATGTGAAGCTTACACAGACACGGACTTCGGAGTGAATAATTGATTATAAAGTTATAACGGATTATTATGTTGATTGTTGGCAATAATAATTGTTTATAAATAGCAAAATTTGGTGTTTGCAAGATTCATAATCGATTATGATTGTGATATTTTCCAGGAGACTAAATTCTCCTATAATGGTTTATAATTGATAATAGTTCAAACAAAAAACTCTTAAAATCATTTATAACCGAATATAATTGAATACACCCTCTTATTTAGCCAACATTTGTCCACACCAAAAGTTTTTGATGAAATCAATTTCAGCAGTTAATATTTTTTCTACCAATAACAAAATCTCTAAAACTATGATGTCTTGTCACTGTGTGATTCATCTGAAGACAAAAGTTTACCAGTCGAAGAAAATTTTCACGGTAGGTGAAAAATAAAACTTCAAATAAGTCTTGAAATTATTGCAATATACTGATATTTTGGTGGTCAAAAAACAAAAAATGTGCATCCTGAAAACTTTCAAAACCTTCAAAACAACTTTTTTCGTTTTCCAGATCAACTTAATCAAGTATAATCAGCACTAAACTGATTTTATTCCGTGCTTCTCGTACACGTTAAGCACAGAATAAAATCAGTTTAGTGCTGATTATACTTGATTAATTTGTATTATAATTGATTATAATTTGATTTCAAAAATAGATACTATAATTGACTTTTTAGCCGATTAAAGTCATTTTTCTCTCAATTTTAATGAAACTGGTACTGAAATCATTTTACAATAGATTTTTAACGCTTGAAACTGGATGCGGATCAGCCGATGCGCACATTTTTTTAAAAGTTAAGTGAGTGTGAGAACAATAGGCCTCAATTGTTCTGAAAGATCTCATTTTTGACAGATCAGGGCGATCAAAATATATGTTCAGCAACTTTTTTGGGAGAATTACATAGATACCAAATCGAACGGCTGCTATGCAGAGCAAAAACCGAACCGCTGGTGGTCAAAAAGGTAAATTTTCAATCGTCAAATAACTACACAACCTGAATGTTAGGAACTTATCTAGCAACTTCGGTAAGCCTAGACATCGTGCAGAAAAGAAATCCACGCCTGAAGTGTTCAGTGCTACCGGAGGCATTTCAAACTCAGCAGTCTGACGAAAAAAAATTGTTTTAAGTAAGTACCCTCTATTAATATTTCGTTTAAATATAACAAAAAATTCTGTGCACCCATGAACTTAATGATGTTTCTAGTACCAATTTCACAAAAAAATACTCCCGATACGAGGTTAAAATGTGCACTTTGTGAAGTATGAGCGGAATTTGCAACAAAGACGCTCCCTCTGCTTCTCTTTTTTCTTTTTTTTTCTTTCATTTTCATTAATCGTTCCGACAAAATTTCAACATGTTTAAAGTCTTGTCTCTGGAATCCATGAACATACAGACACAAACCGGTGCGCCTATCCAGTGCTCAGATTGGCCTCGTAATGCAGCTTAGAAGCCGTTGTTGCTACAGGGATTGATGTCTTAAACTCCATTTTGAAAAAATTATTTCACCTGTGATCATTTTTGCAAAATTATGGTGGTTTCGTCATATTTAGAGACGGTATTTTTCCCAATTTCCGGTATTAAAACGGTTTTACGGTACAATTTTACGGTGTGAAAGAGGACGGTATTAAAACTATTTTCCCAATTTCCACAAAAACCAACGTCAATGAAAAACTTAAAAAAGGCAGTTCAGATGCAAAGTTGAGGACAAAATGGGCAAACAAAAGGGATTACCATCGATTAAATCCGATTGCAATAGAACGTTTTTGCATAAGGAATAAATTAGAAAATGGGATGAAAAAAATTGATTGTAGCAAAGAATATATGGGCAAGTAATCGATTCTAATCGAATAAAAAGATTTGATTTTGATAAAAATTTGTTTTGATCGAGATAGATAATAACCGACTATTAATTGATTATAAAAGATGTTTTCTCAATTTTATTAAGTTTGGACAATTACTAAAATCCAACTCTAAGTGATTATTAGCGATATGAAATTGAATGCGGGTACCTCACACGAATATTTGTATAGTAGTGTTTAGTTTTCTCTCTGTTCGTTCAGATGGTCAGTTATTTATTAAATTGAGATTAAAGTTTAAAAGTCTTTTTTCTAACATAAATTTTTGACGAACAATTTTTGAAAATGCCTTATAATCTAGTGTGTAGTGTCTATAAATTAGGGTTGAACATGTCGCGAGTAAGAGCAAAGAACAAAAATATGAAAAAAAAAGGTTTCGCGTCGCATTTGATGAGCTATGCATTGCCCGACTAAAATTGTTCGAGTGTTTAATAGAATTTTTTTTTTTACAAAAGCATATGAGTAATCGACCGAGGTAAGTTTGAACTTTTTTGATTTTGGGTGCCGTTTTCTGGCTTTTCCTAAGGTTGTAGGGGCAAACACATCAGAAGTATATCTTCGCCGAAACAAAAGAAGTCGGTTCAGAGTTTGAAACATTGCCATGCTACATGAAAATAAGTTCCATTCAGTCGCTAGATATCTTCAACTATAGTATTAATTGGGAGAGCAGGGTGCGCGTATAGGCTTTTTTGATACACTTTTTGTTCCGAATATTTGAGCTCGGGGTGGGTTTTTTTTTCTTCAGACAAATTTCGACTTTTTAACTAGCCATTTTTGACGGAATTTTTTATATCATTCAAAAGATATTGTTGTCCTGAGCTTAAATTTGAAAAGATATTTCACCTGTGATCATTTTTCGTAGAGTTATGAGGGTTTAAAGATTGCCATTTTGGCCATTTTGACCAATTTGGGACAATTAACGCTCGATATAATTCGCGCTATTAACGCGTAAGCGGAGATTTAATCTGTCTTGTAAATCGTTAAAAATTGGTTGAATGATGTTTATTTACCATAATTGATTTGTTACAAGGAACGAAATCTCTCTTTTTGTACCCTATATGGCGTGTGGGGTGATGATTTTCATAAAAAATTTCAAATTTTAAAGAAAAAAAAATTTTCATTTTATTTTATTTCATTTAATTTTTTTATGCTATTACTGCTCCTCCATAAACCTTAAAAGGCAGTCGGACCTTTCAGGGCTTCGCCCTGATACGAGCAGTCTTGTTTGAAATTTGAGAACAAAACAGGAAGTTTTCAGTTGCAAACTCTCCAAACAGTGTGATCTATTATTGTTCCGACTTTCGATACGAAAGTAACTGAATATTTGTGCTCGGGGTGGGTTTTTTTTTTCTTCAGACAAATTTCGACTTTTTAACTAGCCATTTTTGACAAAATTTTTAAATATCATTCGGAAGCCATTGTTGTCCTGAGCTTGAATGTGAAAAGATACTTTACTTGTGATCATTTTTTGTAAAGTTATGAGGGTTTAAAGATTGCCATTTTGACCATTTTGACCAATTTGGGACAATTAACGCGCGATATAATTCGCGCTATTAACGCGTAAGCGGAGATTTAATCCGTCTTATAAATCGTTCCAAATTGGTTGAACGAAGCTTATTTGCCATAATTGATTTGTTACAAGGAACGAAATCTACCTTTTTGTACTTTATATGGCGTGTGGGGGGATGATTTTCATAAAAAATTTCAAATTTAAAAAAAAAATTCATTTTATTTTATTTCATTTAATTTTTTATGTTATTACTGCTGCTCCATAAACCTTAAAAGGCAGTCGGAACATTCAGGGCTTCGCCCTGATACGAGCAGTCTTGTTTTTATTTCTAATCTATCCTAACACCTACCACTAGAAAATCTCGCCCGAAGGACGGACAGTCTAATGGAACTTTAAAACTAACAATCGAATCCAAAGCTTCGTTTCTCATTTAGCAGTCGTAAGCTAAGCAATATGATAGTTCAGGGGCTGATCCCAGATTTTCGCGAGGAAGGAGATTGTTCTTCCTTGTGTTTTTTATTCGACATTTCGAGGTAGTAAAACAGCAAAATTTTAAATTGAGTTTTCAAGTTTTTTGTCCAAAAACTATAGTCGAATCATCGTTGTGAAACTTTATAATAGTACGTTTTTCAAACTGTTGAGGGATCACACGTGAACTTTGGGCCAAAAATATAAAGTCTCTTCCCCTGTTGAAAGCGGGTTTAAGCCTGCCCCTTTTTTGCAAGCTAAAAAGAAATCACATTTTATTTTTGCAAATTGTTTCTGTTTTTTTTTCTGAGTTTAATGAGCGCAAATGTCATCATTCAAGGTTGTTTCAAATGTCGCTGATATGAAAAACAAATTTAAACCAAAGTCAAATTTAACTAACTATTTTATCGACCTTTGACAGTTTATGTGGACTATTGAGATCACTTTAGTTTCGAGACTGAATATTTTCTTGAAATAATCTTTGAAATGATTTTGACTCGAGGTATACCTTCCTTGTTCGGTCTTCAACTGTTATTTGGGCATCTGGGTAAGATTCATTTCTGATAATTTGCATTAGTTTAATTCGAACTTTTTATGGATTCACAATTCACACATTCAGTCGCATCAAAAAAAAAATTTTATGAAGAAAAGATTTGCTGTCCTTTTTTATCTTCGCAAGAGCCTTTTAAAGAGTTTTAGTCATTTTTTAATCAAATAGTAACACTAAAGAAAAATCTAATTTTTTCTTACTAAATACTACGATCTCAAACACTCCATTTCATATAGACAGAAACGATTGGATTAAACTTTTTTTGCTTGAATAAAAAAAAAACCCTACAATTCGACTATTGATACATTCATTTTTATTCTTTATCATATTATTGTTTTACTTGTCTTAATTTTTTTATAAATAGGCCTGAATGTATGAATTAATGCATTAAAAACGTTTCGTACATAATACACTCGTCACTTTTGTTAGATTGACATTTATCCCTATGGCTTGTGTCTAAAATTATTCATTTTTTTACTTTTTCTTTTTCTTTCAACTATAAATTGTTTTTAAAAATTTTCAAGCTCTTAATTTTAACTGACTTTTTTACCACAGGGAAAGGGGGGGGGGAGGGCGGGTGGTAGGAGAAATGCGGGTGAACATATGTGCACGGAGGGGGAGTATTTATGGGAGGTTGGAAGGGGGCAAATTTTATTATATAAGTCGGGTGATTGATATTTAATGTGAAGAGTTGTGAAGAGAAAATTAAAAATTTGAGTTGGTTTTGAATGCGAGTAAGACTAGTACGCCTTCGATACCAAAAAACGTTCTAAAAACGCCTTCGATACCAAAGTACCCTAACTTAAACGCAACTTCATGGTCCAAATGTTCCCAAAAGCGGGCACCAATTTTTTTTAATCTCGTGCTTTTTTCCGAGTCAATTTCTGCCTGAGGTGATGTCATTTTAGGGTTTCTTCCGGTTGCATATAGCTCATCTGATTCCTCTTTATTGTCGCGTTCGCTACATCGACAGTCACATGTCTTCATCCTTCCCGACCATACCGATGAACTAGGACGCAAATGTCTCCACTTCAGGTTATTTAGTAAAAAAAAAAACATGTTTTTTGTCACCCTAGCTAAAATAATGAAGACGTCCTCGCTAAGTTTAAAACAACTGTTTCTTTTCGTTGTTATCTCGTATTTCTAAAATAATGAGGCCGTCCTCGCTTAGCTTTGAACAATTGCTGCTTTTCGTTGTTAACTCGCATTTAAGTCTTGAGATCCCACCCCTACCAAGAAATTTCTTTATTACTGACCCGGAATACTTTACATCTAATCTAATTTTCTGGTCAAAAATTCTTGGCCACATGACCTGATTATGTACGACTGTTTTAGCAAACTAAACTAAGCAACACTTGTTATAACGCTTTTTAATTTGCATATTGTATCGCTACGGCTATTGTGTATACTCGAAGCATGTTTATCTCGTTAAGCGGTTGAGCAGTGAACTGATTTCTGGTTATTGCTTTCCAGAAATTTATTTCTAAACTAAGAAAGAAATAGATCATTTCTGTAACCTAAAATACCAAAATTTGGCTAGGTTATTTATATAACATTTCTATCTTGAAAAACAGCCTTCGCTGGGTAAGGGCAGTTTTTATACTCGATATCTTGAAACACCTGAAAAATAACATAAAAATTATAACTCAAAGAAATGAATTAAATTCAGCAAGTGTAATTGGTTTTCGGAAATAAGATCGGTAACTATATCTGGAGCGTGTTCTCCTCCTAAAGCCAATCTTTGAACTCGATCCCAACTCTTCTTGAGTGAAGTAGTTTTTTACAGGTAAACGCTTAATTTATTTTTTTGTATTTTTTTAAAGTTTTTTTTTCATAACTGTTGGAGACAAATTAAGGGGCGGTCAGAGTTTCGCCTTGATACAGGAGCAGTCTTGTAATCATTTAGGATAAAATTAACACTCTAAAGAAATCATTTTAAAAAATCAAAGTAGGTGTCAATAAAATGATCTTTCGTTGAGCGCAGCCATTACTTCTGCTTGATGTCACTTTGGATAAAAACGCGTGTGAAGTACAGACAGCCACAGCCTGGTGACAGGGAGGAGTTTAGGAGTAAAGTGGTGTCATTGTACAATCAGCTCAACTGGTTCTCTTTTCGGGAGCAAGATGCCGCCCCTGGACCGAATAGTCAGTTTTTGAAAGTTTCAACTTTATCTGACGTCTCTACACGGGTCGCGGTGCTCACTTAATGTGTCGAACTCTAAAGCCAAGCATACGGTCCGTGCTCGACCATAAAATATTAGTCGGGATGAGGGCTCGGGTGAAAATCAAACTCGGCAAACCTCGAGCACAGTCGAAGTATATCAAAAGTCAGTCGAGCACGGTCGAAACAAACCTCGAGCAACGTGAAAGCATACCTCCAGCATATTCAAAACACAATTCGAGCACGACAAAATACCTCGAACACGATTGGCACATGCCTCGAGCTCGGTCAAGACATAACTCGAGCACGGCAAAATTTATCTTGAGCACAGTTAAAACATGACTGGAGCACGGTCAAAACATACTCGAGCACGATAGAACCAAAATATAGCTCAATCAAAGTCAAAGCAAACCTCGAGCATGGTCGGAACACAACTCGAGAATGGTCAAAAAATACATACCTTGAGCCCGATCGAAACATACCTCGCATACAATCAAACATTTTTCCAGTAGGTTCGAAACATACCTAGAGCATGGTCAAAAAATCTACCGAGCACAATCAAATTGAGCACGTAAAATTATACTATACCGCGAGCACGGTCGAACTAGGAACGGTCGAACCAAAGCACAAAACATAACTCGATAACTCGAGCACGGCCGAGGCATAACTCGAGTACCTACAAAACATACGAGCACGTTCGGAACATACTCGAGCACAATTGAACCATATAATAGCTCAAGAACACTCGAAATGCACCTCGTGCAGGTTCGGAACTACCGCCAGCAGGGCTAAGTTACACCTCGAGCACGGTCAAAACATACCTCAAGGACGGTCGAAATATATCTCGAGCACACACTGAACATATCTCGAGCACGATCGAAATTTACTTCACGCATGGTCGAAACACAGCTCGAGAACTATCAAAAGACATTTCAAGCACGGGCCAAACATACCGTGGGCACAGGGAACCGAAAGACTATATGAGCATGGACGAAACATACTGTGATGCCAATTGAAAATACCGTGATAACGATCGAAACATACCGTAATCACGCTCAAAACATAGCGTGATCATGATCGAAACATACCGTGATCACGATCGAAACATACCGTGATCATGATCAAAAACATATCAAAAACAGTCGAAACGTTTCTGGGGAATGGTCTAGCTATGCCTCGAGCATGGTTGAAACATACTGTGAGCACGGTCAAAACATACGGCGAGCAAGGTCGAAATACATCGAGAAAGGTCGAAACAAACCTCAAGGGCGGTCAAAATATACATCAAGCACACACTGAATATACCTCGAGCATGTTCGAACCTTACTTCAAGCATGGTCAAAACATACCTCGAGTACAGTCAAAACACACCTCGAGAACAGTAAGACATTTCGAGCACGGTCGAAACATACTTTGAGCACCAAGGACTCGAAAAACAAAACGAGCAAGATGGAAACATACTGTAATGACAATTTAAACATACCGTGATCACGATCGAACTATACCGTGATCACGATCGAAGCATATCCTGATCACAATCGAAACATACCGTGATCACGATTGAAACATACCGTGACCACGATTAAAACATATCGTGATCACGATTGAAACATACCGTGATAACGATCGAAACATACCGTGATCAAGATCGAAACATATTCTGATCACGATCAAAACATAACCTGATCACGATCAAAACATACCCTGATCACGATCGAAACATACCGTGATCACGATTGAAACATACCGTGACCACGATCAAAACATATCGTGATCACGATTAAAACATACCGTGATCACGATCGAAACATACCGTGATCACGATCAAAACATACCGTGATCACGATCAAAACATACCGTGATCACGATCGAAACATACCGTGGTCACGATCGAAACATACCGGAAGTACAGTTGAATCGAAGCATACCTTGAGCAAGATCGGAACAATGCGTCACTGTCGATTCAAAACATACCTCGACCTTGGCGGAAACGTATATCGAGCACAGTTTCTCACGCACAATAATTTAAGCATTTTTATGTTTTTACCCCGGTTGACCGCTTTCAAAGTATTAAATGTTCATCCGTTTGGTCTCTCTGGTCACAAGTATAGCCCCCAAATGCAATTTTCAAGTCAATTTGTTCAAGCCAACAGCTCTCAATTATCAGCTAATCACATAATCTATAATTCCCATAAATTCCCAGATTTCAGTCAATTTTCAATTTTAATGTTTTTAGATACGAGAGGTTGTTGTTCATACCAGGTTGCTTCATACATTCAACATGGACAGAAAAACGGTCTTTCGCCCCAAGAATATCTGGATAAAGTGTTCAATATAGGACCTTTTGGGAGCAAACGGCTGATTTTCATCAAGGTCATTTTTTCATTTTTTATACTTTCAGTTTAACTTTTATATCTTGATGTCCGGTTGAATCTTCATTTGCAAAACAAACAAATATGAGGTTTCGTATTGATTTTAGTTCGCCCAACAGAGAGAGAGAGAGCCAGATTTTGAGCCACTTTAGTTATAAACAGAAATTTGCTGTTTAACTGCCTCTGTTTATGTGTACAAAGATTTTGTTATTTTGAGTGTGGTGTTAGCGGGCCATCAATTTCTCATTTGAGAGGTGGATTTTTTTTTGCTTTTAGGCTAAATGGCATCCCAGATTTTGCATTAACGTTATCAGTCAAATTGGATTTGGTCAGGGGGTCTTCAAACTCATCGGATCGGCGAAAAAGGGACGTCATTTTATAATCCCCCCAGTCGGAGAGTCAGAACCTATTTTTATAGTCCCCTCTGATGAGCTGCAATCAATGCTCACCTTTCCGTGGTTCATGGTCAATGTTGTCTGTCGTGAGAAGCCTTTTCTCTGTCCGAATTCTGCGAGAAGTATTTACGAGCAGCTCCAGAATCTCGATCTCGATGAGCCAACAGAAGCAACATAAGAAGCCAGAGCAAAAAGGAATAGTTTGGAAACTTCCGTCATAGGCCATCAAAGGAACAATTTTTCAATTTTTCCAAAATTATACCAAAATCAATTAATAATTAACACAGAGCTGGTAACCCTCCTAATTTTGCTTTCACTGAGTTGATTCAATATTCATGATTTAAAAGCGACAATTTTTTTAGTTTTTTATTTTTAAAAAGCAGCACTTGGAAAAATCTTGAAATATTTTTCCAAAATTTTTTACAAAACCAACTAATTTTAAAACGAAACCGAAAGAGCATAAATTTACCAAGCTCAAAGTTGTTCAAATGGATGCGTTTCATTTAAAAGAAGCAGACAAAGTTACTACTCTAGTAATTGTTGCTATGAAATATAAATGGATATTAATTAAAGATTATATATATCAAAAAATAAATGCTTGCTGAACTATAAAATTACAAAATTCAAATCTTGACCATGCAAAATTCAAAGTAATCAAAACTCAGATTCCAATTTGAAAAACACCCGAAAAAATTGAAACTATAAATTTTTGGCTCCGACTTTTGATTAGTGCTCGGTTTCTTTAACTTTCTCAATACAATTTTCGAATTGCTATCTAACGCATTTTGGCCGATTATTTTCTTCCAACTTTCAAAATAAGTAATCGAATATTTGCCCTGAGGGTTGTTTTTTTTCTCCAGATAAATGTCGACTTCTTAACTAACTCTTTTGTTGTGCTAAGCTCAAATCAAAAACAAATCTACCTATGATGATTTCTTGTATTAATATGGGGGTTTAAAAACTGCCAAATTGGTTAAATTGGGATAGTTAACGCGCGACAAATTTCAAGCTATTTAGACGTCAGCGGAGACTTAATCAGTCGGAGAAAATGTTCCAAAATGACTTGAGTCACGCTATATGGTCAAGTTTAAACTTCGTTTTTGCGAAGTATATCCTATTTTACGTTACATTGGGTTTTCTATAAACATTCATCTATAAAAATTTGTTACTCCATAGAGCTCAAGGACGGTCGGAATACACGGGGCTTCGCTTTGATACAATCAATTTAGTTTCTATTGATAATCTCTCCAATGTTAAATTGTCACATTGTTTTTAAATAGCGTGTGAGTTGATAATTTTCAAAGTTATATTCTGAAATTTTCACCAATTTTTTCTATTTTTTTTGAAATTTTCTTCATCAATTTTTGAAGTCAAACAAAGTCTTTTGGCGTAACAAAAAATTCGGTGCTTTGTTCTGACACCAGCGGTTTTGTTTTTGTCTCCCAACAGATGTTAATGTCGTGAAAATACTTTTGATTTTCTTAAGAACTAATAATAAAAAGCCGTTTCTGTTTAGCAGAAAATAGAGTTTCAATCACGGTAGTTAAGTAAGATATTTAAAAGAACCATAGATGTTTTTGTATATCTTAGAAGCCTGGACATTAGAGTCAAAAACTAGGGTAAAACCAAATCACAAAAACTGGAGAACTTTTACCAGATTCATGAACACATGGGTAGATAAAGTAGTGATTAGGTTCGGTAAGTAGAATGTGAGTAGATTCAAATGAATTAGACGCATGAGTACAACAAAAAAATATGTGAAAAGGCTGAATTTAATATAAAAATTTTTTATCATTATCGATTTTTTAAACTATTTTGTTTTAAATTCCGTTAAATAATAGGTTTTATGCTGGAATTTTTTTTCTGTAAATACTGCGGCTATGTAAATATTTTCAGTAAGATTTCTAAACGGCAGAAGAATTGAGCAAAACTTTGGGTTTGTACATTTCTCAACTGAGCTGCAAAAATAGGATCGAACGAGAATTGAAAATCTGGTACACTAAATGAAATTTCTTTTTATAAAGTTTTTAATTGCATGTGAATAAAAACTAGGCGGTATTTGGGTCGTGATATTCATTCAAAAAGGAGATACATTTCGAAATTTTTTAATGGAAATATAGGTTTATGCAATTGTGACTTCATAAGCTTAAAATAACAGATTGTTAGAAACCGCAATAATTTTTTTTTGATTTTCCACTATCACATACCCTTGCCCAGGCTATTTAGAAAAAAACTTGCAAAAAATCAGAAATTACAATTAGAATTATTATAAAATGTAAAAGCACACCTCGAAAAAAACTTTTGCAAAAACCTCCTTGCAAGGCCAAACTGCTTTTTTTGTGGTTTTAGCAAATTCCGCAGAATTGCCGCAAAGCTTTTCTGTACGGTTTTTTATTTGTTGTCCAATCACACTGAAGCATAAAAGTAGAATTTGTTGAGATGCTATCGCATCTACAATTAAATGATGGACTTCAATGACGGAATTCAATAATACGAGTAAGAGAAAGCCAATAAAAAATTGATGGAAACGATAGAAGTCAATTGCGGAATTCAATTAGTTCATGTTAAAGAAATCCGACAACAAGTTGCCTTCACACTTGACTTCACAATCAAGTCGCAGTATCAAAATTTCGGATTCCACAACACAAATTATATGCTGACAAACTTTGCGTTACATGGCGTTTGCTTTTCGTTTCCACAGCAATTTCATAGGTGCCCTTAACGGCTGAATTTTGACATGTTTTATTCACACACACACACACACACACACACACGCGCGCGCGCGAATGCGCGCATACACATCATGCGGTTTGTCTTACAGAACTACAGTTTGGCCACTTAAAGACGTCGGAAAATTTTATTGTTTGAAAATTAAAGTTGAGTAACTTCTTATAGTTTTTGTATATCAATCTCGAAGACAGAAGGAGTATTTTTGTGGCAACAAAAAATTTTAAAAAAGCCGAAATAAAAAAAAGTTTGCCACTATTTTCTAGATTTTTAACAAGAATTGAGTGTTGCTGCCAGCATGTTCTGACCACAATCATTGTTGATACAAAAAATGATTATCAGAAAGTTTAAGATAGGAATGTGTTTGACAAGAGTTGTCTTGACACCGTTAGTCATGAATAGAAATCATTTTTTTCCTTTATAATTATCTTTAGATCAATTTTTCCTCAGTTAAAAGAAGAACGAATTTAAAAAACATACTAAATATCTTATATAGCTTGTTAGTTTAAACCAGACGCTTCAAACTAGACGAAAAAAAAAGAAAAGTTAAAATGTTTATGTGCCCCTGGTTAAGATATACAAGCACATTTTTTGGTTAATTTTCTATCTCGGGTAATGTTGCTTCACTCTCAAGCAACGAGCACAAATTGTGGTGGGCCTCGAATATCCGATCCTTCGAATGAGAGGTGGAGATGTAACCACTTCACCACCGCTTCCCTAAACGTCTCAGAAAGTGTCTGAGAATACCATTTGGTGAACTTTTGAGGTCGATCGTCTCACGACTATCCGTGATTCAGGGATTTGTTATGATACACGTCCCATTATTTAAGATTATTTGTGATAACTGATTTTGCGTGGAAAAGAAATAGTTGAAAACAACGAAAACCTTCCGTGAACAAAATTCCTCTCCACTTTCAGTGCGCGTAATCATTTTTTGACAAACTACTCCAGATAATGTATGTGTTAATTAATAAGACTTTAATTGACCTAATTTTCAACAAAAATCAATTTTTTTTTTGAGAAACGTCTTTCTAAACACAACCTGTGAAGCACAAAGCGATTACTTTTGCGTCTAAAAACGCATTGTTTGAAACAATTTTGAAGTTTTTTGAGCGGAAAAAAAGTATTTTGGCAGTCTTTTTGTTGTATAAAGACAGAATGAAAAAATTTTTATAGAGAAATGTTTTAAGGATTTTTTCTATGTAGGCGCAAAACCGATCGATTGGGTTTTTTGTAATTATTTTTTTGTTTTTATTGTTTTTCTTTTTTTATTCTTTTTATCTGACCACCGAAGAAGGAGATAAAAGTGAGTATGTGAGATGGATCTAAGTACCGCGTTTTGAGAGAACTCTGTAGTGTTGGCAACATCAAAACACTCTGTTTTAATTGGCTTTTTATGTAAAGAAAAAACTGCAACTTGGTTGCTAAGTTTTCAGCGAGCGGTATGTTTCTATTTTGAGACGCAAAAAACATCGTTTCCTGGGAGCTAATTTGCGTATATGATAATATAAACAGCCTGTAGTTCGTTTTGTGGCGTTTGCTTACAAAAAAAAACATATATTTATTTATAACTTACCTTTGTTTATCCGCATAGCAACGGCGTAAAATGGTAAGTTTTTATAGTATCATGTGAAACATTTTTCAGTGGTGATTTAGGCTTCCAAAAAAGTGTCACAAATGTCGTTCCGTGTCGAAAAAATTGTCTGTTTTTTTTTTTGTTTTAAGGTACAAATTTTACAATTCTAAATTTTTACTAATTTAGAATTGTAAAATTACTAGTACGCTTCTTATCTGATTCGAAAGCTAATTTAGCTATATTATAACTGTTACTAACTGAATCTCATGCTTTATTAGCAAAAAAGCAAACAGAATAAGTATTCTGTCTTCGCAGCGTTCGGTGCTACTTACAGAGCAACCGCTCACTGAAAATGGGTCTGGACTCTAATTTCGGGGGCGGATCTAGGATTTTCTCGTCTGAGAGAGGGGGTTGGGTTTTTTTACGGTCGATAGAACTGTTTTCCGAGCTCTCCCAATTTTGGCCAAATTTTCTGGGCCCCAGGCGAACTTTTGAGAAAACAGGTTCTTTGGGTCAATAGGGGTCGCATGCCTGAGGCATCTCCCCAAATCAGCTATGGTTTTGATCACATTTTTTGCCTTTCTAGATATATTTTAGATAGTTTCTTACTTTCAAATACTAGTCACAGCCTATTTTTGGAAAAAAATTCCATTTTTGGCTTGAATTTTATCCCATCCAGTTCTCAAAAAACTGTCCAATATTCGGAAAAAAAAAGAAAATGGACAAAATTTTAAAAATTGTGTCACTTTTATCCAAGAGTTTTCATGGTACTCAAGGGCGCAAGTTCATGGTACGCAAGTTCTTCTAATAACGTTTCAAAAGATTATTGAGTTCTCTCTAGGCTGACCAAACTGATTTTTGGAGCTCTTTCCAAGCATCGTATAGACGAATTCTGTTTTGTTTCCTATATGTTAATCCCGCTGACACTAATACTTTTCAGAAAAAAAACTTATAAAACTATTCATGTTGAATAATGAGCAAAAAGTAAAACCCAGAATATAAAAAAAAATTCTGCTAAATAATTAGTCATTGTTGCATATGAGTCTGAATAGTCAAAATTAAGGCCAGTTTTTTTCAAAATTGAGACCAATGTTTTGAAACTACATCTAAGAGGGCTGAAGCGTCATGCAATATTTCACTTTGTACCTTAAAGAGTTTCTTTGCAGTGCCTAGAAACACTGCAATGCAGAAGCCACCCGTTTCGACCTTACACCATATCTTCATTCAAATCATCATAAAGACTCTAATTTACAAAAGTTTCTGCAACGCAGCCAGACTTTTGTAAGCTAGGCGAAAAGTAGGGCCGTTAGAAGGCTTTCCTTTTCAAACTTAACGCCAAAGGAAATTTTTAGGGTCGATTGCCCGAAAATTGATGTCGTAAAATAGTACGAAAGGGTGCGCTCTGGATTGAGAGGGGTCAAGTCTGTGGGTCCCTGATAGTACTACGACATTTTTTCAATTAAAGTAGAAAAATAAATGAGTAGCGGGTATTTGATTGTGTAGCACAGAATATTCCTGCAAGTTCATCACAACTAACTAAGATCCGACCACATAGAAATACTCCATTCGTTAACCCCGCCGATAACAATACATGCCAAAGCAAACTAAAAAAAAACAATTTTTGTTGACAATCAAAAATAAAAACAGAGAAAAAAAATTTTGCAAAAATGTTTAGTCATTGTTACATTTTTTTCTGAATACCTAAACTTTAGACCAAAAACAACCAATAGGCCTTAAAATATTTACAATTTTTTACACTGTACCTAAAAAAACTGCCCTAAAAGTATCTAAACACAGGGTGACGGACATGCCACCCGTTTCGACCCTACCATAGTTCCTACCGGCTCTTCGCCATGTCGTCCAACCATGTAGTATCTAAAAAGTTGCTATGTTTTTCTTACTAGATATTATATTTTTTACGCTTCGAACATTTTTGCACATTTTGAAAGCAAATTTAAATGCGATTTCATGTTAAATGCAGGTGGAGTTCTTAATCAAATTGCCGTTCAGGTCTATTGATTTCATTACGAACTGAGGAGGAACGTTGTATTCCACAAATAAGTTTCCACAAATAAATGCCTGATGGGGTCAAATGACGGATCCTTTAAAGCTATTTAAAGCCTTTTCAGTAGTGATTTATTCAAGGTTGATTTTTATGTTAAAAAGCTAAGAATTCAGTTTTCAATTTTAAAAAAATTTAATGCAAGACTTTACTTATCCTTACCTCGGCGCAAAGATTTTCAAAGCCTCAAAATAAATCTGATGCAAGATTTTAAAGTTCAATTTTTTAAATAAAACGAAGGGTGAAAAAGTGTAATAAACTATAGTTTTGTTTTAACTTCCTACTAATAGATAAAATCGTGAAAGCCAAACAATTTCAACAATCAATTCTAAAGGCTGTTGGTCGGGGACAAAAAAGCAAAACCCAGGCAAACAAAAAAAGCTCAAACCAGTTAGTTTTTGAAGTTCACTTCACTCGTTTTGGACACTAAGTCAGTAAGTCGCGATATTCACTAAATCGCGATGCTCAATTGAAAGAACTAGTTTTTTGGAAAAAATCTGTTCATTTGCTTTGCTGTCAATCAAAAAAACTAAGATTCTATTTGAAATCAGCTATTTTTTCGAAACTGAAGTTTCGCAAAATTGGGATTTTTGAAGCAAATTTAGTGCTTTTAAGGATTCCTCAGCTCCCCCGGATCGGAAAGAAGTTCCCCGCTCCCAACAGAATGATGACTCAGCAATGACTCAGAATGTTCCTTCTGCCCCTGCTGCTGAACAAGGGGGGTCCTCCGAACAAGTAGTGGCCACCCCTCCTCAGATCACAGCCGCAGATGCTCCCCCTGGTACTCCACCCGGTCTAGAGTATCTGGCTCTACTGGATCAGGTGCTAGTTCAACAGCAAGTCGAGTTGGTAGAAGGTAACTGAAAATAATTATTTAATTTTTTGTTTGAAGTTTTTTTTTCAAATCTGCCGCGTTTAAATTACAGCAGAACATTCCAGATTCAAAAAATGACTTTGAGTCACATAAAAAAATTAGTTCATCGTAACAATTCAGTCAATTTTGTGGGAAAATCTAATGAACAGACTATCCCTGGCCGTTATGTAGCAACGACAGTATAGGTAGACTAACTGCGACTTGCATGAACGAATTTTTTTTCTTATGATAAAAAAGTTGTGTTTACGAAATAGTAACGTACTTTTTTATAACCAGTTTTAAATTTGTGTTGAAATACTTTTTAAAAAGTAAATCGAGTAAAACATTGAAACATCGGAAACAAATTTCCTTTTTTTTTCAGTTAGAGGCATGATTGAAAAACGGGAGTCCTAATTTTAGCACATTTGTTGTTGTTGTAGTTGTTGTTCTGACTGTCCTTGTTGTCGTTGATTAGCATTTGTGGGTTTCGAGGGTGAGAACAAGTATGCGATCAAAAACGTGACAGGTCAGCAGTGCTACTTCGCCGCAGAGCAGAGCGGATGTTGTAGTCGCCAATGCTGCTCCAACAAGAGAGCATTCCTCATCAAAATCATAGACAACACACAACGGGTAAACTTCTATTCCCAGGTCGAAATTACGTCCAAAAACCGCACAAATTGTTCAATTTTGAGATACATTTTTGAAAATACGCGCAAAATTTGAGCGGTTCTTGCTTCTGTTTATTTTGTGCGGCTTTTTTTTATTTTAAAAATTAGTTCGAGAGAGGCTTAGATACTCAACTGTTTAAATTTTAGAAAGGCCATTCAAACCGCTCAGATAGAATAAATAGCTCAAGTTTTAACAATTTAGGAGCTTTTGATCCCATTTGAAGTTTCAGCCATTTGTTGTTTTTTCGAAGGTAAACTTGATAAGTTTTTCGGGTAAAATTTGAATAAAATGGATTTCCGTTGATTAAAATAATAACTATATAATCGATTACCGTGGTGAATTTTGAATTCAATTGTCAGCCCGGAATTTGCGATCCGTTTTCTGAAAATCAAATTGTTGTAGTCGATTTTCTTCAATTCAATCACTTTCGGAGATTCTCTTTTGTTAAATCTCAGCGAAAATGTTCCACCCATCTTAAGGCCAACAAAGATTCAAACAATAAAAGTCTGATTTTTTTTGCATCATGAAACAAACGAAAGGAAAAGATAGCTACCCGCACTCAGTAAAAATAGAAAAGAATTGATTATATTATAATTATAATCGTACTTTTAGCAAAATTCTAATAAATTATAAGCGCCAATTCTTGATGTTTAAGCGATTTATAATTCATTATAATGACAAAATTTTTGGTGAAGTTTCAATAAATTATAATCAACCCATAAATTATAATACCTTAATCTATCATAAAATTATCTGACAAAAAAATCAATTATAAAATCACAGTAAAACCAAAATGCAAAAACACAGTAAAACCAAATTTAATTTAAGTTTTAGCTATTGACAGGGGCGGATCTAGAATTTTCTCGAGGGAGGAGGGCAGGAATTTTAAAAAACTTATTTCTGCCTCGTTTCGGTTCTGAGG